CTTCCTGACTCCAATTCCATATCTAATCAATTGCCAAGTCCTCTTGATTTTCCCTTCATTACATGTCTCATATAACCCATTCCCGCCCCCCTTTGCCACCACTACTACCCTGGTCCAAGCCCTCCTTACCTTATGAACCCCACGATGATCAGAGTCCAAAGCAGGGACTGGGATAAGGCCAGCATGAGAACTATCACCTTTATAGCCACTGCCATGGTAAATAGGGAAGGATCTCTTCCCCCATCCCCATCAAGGGTCATAGCCACAAGAGGGGTTTGGAGTTATTTAGTCCAAGTTTGTTTTCCCAAAGATAATTGTATAGTCGTAGTCTCACTCCCAGGTACTATTTCCAGGAGATTGTGCTGGTCTACATTTAAGAGGAGGTTCTTACTTAGCTACTCTGGTCAATACAATGTTCCATAATAGTTCCATAGGATCCATTTTGAAAAATGCTATCCACCTCCAGAGAGAAACTGATGAATCCTGAGTGCAGACTGAAGCATCTTTTTTTCATTCTTTTCCACCACAGCTAATAAGGAAATGTTTTGCATGACTTCACATGTATAATGGGTATCATATTGCTTGCCCTTTCAATAGTTTTGAGGGCAAGGGTTCAGGGAGGGAGATAATTTAGAAGTCAAAAAATGTTTAAGAGGCTTTTAAAATGATTCCTTGCTATAATACAATTCATGCATTTACCTATAGCTATATTAATAACTGTGTCCTTTAACCCTTGAATGGAAAGGTTTTTTAATTTTAATTTAGAGAATTTATTTCTTCTCCCTTCTGTTTCCCATCCCTTTGGGGGGGGGGGGAGAAAAACAAATTCCTTGTAACATATATACGCTTACCAAGCAATGCAAATTCCTTCACTGGTCATGTTCAAAAACTGTGTCTCACTCTGTAGCCCATATATATCCATTACCTGTCAGAAGATGGATAATATGCTTCATCATCAATCCTTGAACCATATGAAAGTTTTATCTCCCTCTACCTTCACCCCTCCCTTTATGAAATGTGAGTCAGCATTCAGATGTTGAATGCCAAAGGGAATAGTTATATATACCTGCACTGGAGGCCGTTGATTACTTGAACAAACAGCCACCCTCCTGGCAGTGGTCAGGCAGACTCATGACCATAGTGGCTACCATCCTAAATACCTATGTAATTTTAACTGCTTCTTACCTTCTCACTTTCACTCCTAAAACCAGTCAAGATCTCCTCAGTTCCCCAATTTTAATCTTTAAGTTGTCAACCTGCATCCAAACAACCCATAGCACCTTAAGATTATATATGAGATCCTCCATATCCCCCTCAATAGCTAACTTTGAGTAAACTGGAAAACATTTGAATTCCATATTCTTAACCCTTCAACTAATTACTGTGCTTAAAGATCCCATGGATTTGGAAGCAGAGGTAATATTTTATTCTCCAACAACTACCCTGGAATGACTGAAAAGGGGATAGGACTCCCAAAAGGTCAGAAATGGTACTCTTCCTGTACAAAAGGGAAGCTGGCTGAGTCATTTGTAGTCACCAATACCAATCATGCCAATCTGAACAGATTTAAAGGACCACATCATCCCATGCTTAACTCCAGCAAGTGAAAATTAGAATAATAAAAATTAATATTATATATATTTGGCTATCCAAGTCTTTATGCAAGGACTTCCTGTTTCCCTTTCCTAATGCAGATAGAGTACACTAGGTCATTCGTTGGAAGGCTTTTGCCACCAAATAACAACTTCACAAAGGCTTCAGTTAAAGCAAATGGCTATAATTCAATTAGTGATATTTAGTGATCTCATTGGTGATTCTCCATTGATATTTAATGGTATTAACTGCAGGTGAAATTAATGAAATTTCTTTAACCCCTTATCTAGATTGCTTTGTTATGGTCAACTTTTGTTACAAGTACATTGATGAAAATCCAGGAACTGGATATGAAATAGCTGTTGCTTGAGTCACACCAAGGCTAAACAACACTAGGAGAACCTTGTTTGGTCTGACTACTGAATCTACCACTGGCAAATATTTCAATTGTGAATTAGTGGACCTAAAGACAAGATTATACTCTAGCCCACTGTAAGAAAACCCAACATCTAGTCAATAGTATTTTCCAAAGGTGTACCCCATGTCATTCAAAAACTGAAGAGGCTTTTGCAAACAATACACAAAGATACACTACAAGGCATAACCTCTTACAATTAGTAGTGGCCAATACATATCCACATGGAATGATTTGTAAAAGCTTTGGTTTTGTACACCAAAGAAAACTGTGGTTGACATTGCTCACCCCCACCCGCCATACTGATCTACTTACTTGGTGTTCCCTGGCTAAGACAATCCATCTCCTGGCCTTTGCACATTCACCCACCCCCTCAGGCACGGAGTTATGTTCTCTTTGCCTCCATCTCTTATAATCCACATCTTCCTTTAAGGCTCAGAGCAACTGCCATCTCCAACCAAAGGACTTTCTTATTTAATTTGCATTTGTTTTGTATATGTTTTTGTATTTTTACATGTAGATAGAGCACTGTGCTTAGAATCAGGAACTCATTTTCATGAGTTCAAATCTAACCTCACTTACTAGTTGTGTGATCCTGGGCAAGTTACCTAACCCTGTTTGCCTCAGTTTCCTCACCTGTAAAATGAGCTAGAAAAGGAAATGACAAACCACTCCAATATCTTTGCCAAGAGAACCCCAAGAATTGGGCCACAAAGTCAGACATGACTGAAATGAGTAACGGCAACATGTTTTCCCCTGCTGAATGTAAACTCCTTGAAACAAGTACTGTCCTATTCTTGTCTTCATGTCATCAGTGCTCTGGATAGTGATTACCACAGAGAAAGTGCTTAAATCCTTATTGAAATGAAATCAGACTTTAACAGGTAACCAAGAAGTTAGATCTGCGAATGCCCTGGGATATGATGTTCTATGCTTAGATGGACATGGTATTCTACCTAAAGGTTACTGCAATAAATGACTAATAAATTATTATGTAAATGCATTTTAGATGGAAATCGCCATAGAAATAATTATGTGACAATGCCAGGAATAGCTATTCACATTTACAAAGAAAAGAAAGCATTAACCCAGGAAGCAGGAAGCCCTGGCTATTTGAAACATCTGCAGAAGTACTTTTATCCTGAAAGAAAGCTAAATTGGTTATGAATTACATTTAAGTACCCATTACTCCTTAAAACCAAAGGGCTATTTAATGTACTTTCATTTTTAGATAGTTCTGATGATTTACATATGTAGCCAATGAATCTGTATTTACATCACAAAATATGAAAAGGAAAAAACACAAACCACAAATTCTAGCACCACTGGAAGGATTTTACACACACACACACACACACACACACACACACACACACACACACACACACACACACAGAAACCAGCCCTAGCATAGGCCAGTAATTCCTTGTTTATTCTTCACTTACAAAACATTAGGACATTTTGAACAAATGATACAAAATGATGTGTCATATCACAATGGACAAGTTGTCTCATACATATTTTATATAGTAATATTGTAGTGAATTGGTCGTGAAGTATTCAGAAACATACTTACCCTTCCAACAGGAGCCCTCCCCCAAACATAATCCATTATTTCTATTCCCTACAATATCTTTTCATTAGATACTCAAAGTAGGAAATAAGGGACTGGCCTTGACACCAATACATCCACACAAAGGATAAAATGTGGGAAATGGTCCAGGCTGGACACCTCCACTTACATACAGTCCTTTCTAGCTGTTCCAGTCTAATATCTTGCAACTTGTTTGGATAAGGAGTCTTTTCCATTCAAAACAACATGGCAAACAAAATCGTTTTAAATAGGTATTCACATACAGTATACACACTTTCCTGCCTAAATAGAAAGCATACACTTTCAAACAAGAATAGATGGATATCCAGTAAACATGCGATGAATTCTCCCAAAGCAGATTAAACTCTGTTTTCATACATCTGCCTTGAGGTGATACAGTAAAAGTATAAGAGGATTTCCTTAACCATTTATGATTAAACTTGTCTAATAAGGTTCACTTTCTGGATGGTTCACACCAGCACCATTCTGTGAGACAACAGGTAAGATGAGAATGAGACTAAGATGGTCCAGGTCCTTCTGGTTTAAGTACAGTTTCTTAGATAGGACATAGGCCCTTTCGTAGATCTTTTCAGCCAAGATCTTCACAAATAAACTTAACACCCTACCACCTCTAAAACCTACCCAAAGAGTGAAGCAGAGGAGCTGCATATTATTTTTTTAAATGTCAGTAAGTCCATTTAGTGATCTGTCCTTCAGGGGAAGGTAAGGATGAAACAACTTCTCCTAACTAAAACAAAAAGTTGCTACTTCCTTTTAAAAAAAGATAACAAAAAAACCAATTGCTTCAATAAATCTCTTACCCAATGCTAAAGTAATCATCTTCTGCTTTACATGCAATTTGTAGACAGGCAAAAAAAAAACCCACAAAAAAACCAAACCCTATAAAATGTTTAGAAGACCACTATATAAAAAACTTATTTTTGTACTTCACTGTAAAGCTATTTAGTCTTTTTCCCATGGGTCTTAAGTTTATTCTTTTTTATTGAGTCCCCTCTCCTGTCATACTAGAAACCTCAAAAATTTAAATATAAAAACTAGGTTTTATTTTAAAAATATTTTCCCCTCATTTTCTTAGCCCTTTCCCATGCTGATCTCCAATATTTAATGAAAAAAAAATGCAGCTTCAGGACTTAATATATAGTATACTTCTCCTTAATGCCAGATCCAATGCAGGGCCATCTCTAGTCGTCCTGACCTATATCTTGCCACTGGACTCAGATGGCTCTGGAGGAGAAAGTGAGGCTGGTGACTTTGCCTAGCCCTCTCACTTAAATCTAATTCACTTGCAAGTCATGTAATCACCTTCCTGATGTCATGGTCCTCTTTGAGAATGAAGGATAAACAACAACAACCAGATCCAATAGACAGATACATACCTAAAATTTCTCAGTACTGACACCAACTTCAGCATATTTATTCATTCTAAAGTGTTACGTAAAGAAGCACAAAACCATCAGTACAATAAAACCAAAAATAAGGCACCTGCCCTTACAAGATGTTGGCCAAAAAGTAGTTGTGATACCAGCACACCTGTCAGTGAGGAGCCACAGCTGAGGGATATGAGCTATTAATCATTGCTTTAATAGATGAACTAGCATGAAATTATGGAACTAAATTTTTTAGTTCTAACTACAAACATTTTGCCTTAAAATCCCATTAAACATGTTTTTTGAAGACAAAATATAAACTTATTCTGTGAATATGAAATGTGAGATTAACTTTTGAACTCAAGTCGCTTCTTTCCAGCAGTGCCTTTTATCATCATTTTTCTGCAAAGCTAAAATTGAAAAGCTATCAAAATGCACAATCTTTCATTTTCTGGGAATTCCATGAAAGTATAAAAGAATTACTAGATTTGGTTCATTTAATTAATCTCTTCATGCAAAATAAAATTTGTGGTAATTACATGCCCACTGCCTCTGATTGCTCTTTAGAACAAATAAATATGTACTGCTGAGGTCCCATTCTATAACAACTGAAAACCTTGGTTCAATTTAGTCTCCCATTAATTTTAGATATGGATAGATATGGACAGGTGATATGAACAGCAGTTTGGATAGAACCTGCCTACATCAAGCCTTCATTTTCTTTCCTTTAAGGCTACAGAAAATCTGGACACAAGGAAAGGCAGTTCATTGTCTCTTAGACAGCCCTCCCCGGACAACCCAAAAAGTAGTCATCTCCAGTGAGGGTTCCGCAGAGAGCTCATGTTGTATGACATTTTATTTAGATTCCATGCATGTATTTTCCTGTGCTACCACAAGGTTGAGATCCATTCTTTCTGGAAACTCCAGCTTCTCACAGACTGCCTCCTTTACAGGTAGGTATTGTGATATTTCATTAGGCTCTGTAAAGAGGGCTGGTGGTACGTGCTAGGACATAAACAAACTGGATTAGTTTTCTTACACATCATTTTTACAGTACACTCATAAATATATTACTTTAAAGTATTTGTTAAAGCATTTATAATCCTAAATATACATACCAGATTCCAGAAAATGAGATGAACTTGTTTTACAACACTATTAGAGATGCTCTGATAGCAAAGCTTTCCTCAAATGGCATCACTACATTGCATTAAACTTAATTCAATGAATTTACTAATATTCACTTGGTATTTACAAGGTGCTGTGCTTAATTTGTGTGGTGTGCTTAATCCCACACAGTTAATTCCCCAAATCATCATATGACTTCTGGGTCTTAACTTCCTAGTTTTCTGTTTGATTTCAACTAATGATGTATAATACAAAACAAAATCCAAATGATTCTTCCAAACCTCTATAGTGTTACAGAATACAAATTTGGATTTTAATATAGTCAAATTTAATAGACTCCTGTTTCAAGTCACTTGTTTGGATTATCCTCCTTTAACAACTCAAGGTAATAGGTCTAAGGGCACTGTTATCAGGTCACAGTCGAATAATTATTAATTAGATTATGTCTATAGGACAGCATATGGGACATGGAATTAACCACTCTTATTAAGCGTAATTATGTTGTTTAAGATTTGGTGGAAAGAGAACATAGCAAACAGCTTGCTGGGGCAGTAAAAGCACTCCTCTGAAAGTTGGAAAACCTGCACTTTAGTCCTTGATAAGTAATTTCCCAAATCTGTGACACTAGAAAAGAGACTTTATCTCTGGGTGTCACTATCCTCAACTGTAAAAAACCCAGAAATTGGACCAAATGATATGTGGTCCCTTCTAACTCTCAAATCTACACAAGGTGTTCTATTTTATATCTGTCCCTCAAGAAAGTATGTGTATGTGTAATAGAGTGTTGTTGGTCTTATCTTTTACCAATTTAATACTATCTACAGGATTTTCTTGGCAAAGATACTGGAGTAGTTTGCCATTTCTTTCTCCAGTGGATCACCTTTGTCAGAACTCTCTAATATAACCTGTCTTGGGTAACCTTGCACAGCATAGCTCATAGTTTCATTGAGCTACACAAATCCCTCCACCATGACAAGGCAGTGATCAAGGAGGGGAGACATGACATCACAAGATGAGCCCCTCAGGTCGGAAGGTGTCCAACACACTACTGGGGAAGAGTAGAGGACAACTACATATAGCTCCAGTACTAAGGAAGCAGCTGGGCCAAAGCCAAAAGGAAGCCGAGCTGCAGATGTGTCTAGCAACAAAAAGAAAGTCTGATGCCATAAAGATCAATATTGCACAGGAACCTGGAATGTAAGATCTATGAACCAAGGTGAGCTGGACGTGGTCAAATAGGAAATGGAAAAATTAAACATCAATATCTTGGGTGTCAATGAACTTAAATGGATGGGAATGGGAGAATTTAATTCAAGTGATCACTACATATACAGTAGGCAAGAATCCCTTAGAAGAAATGGAGTAGCCCTCATAGTCAATAAAAGGGTGAGAAAAGCAGTACTAGGGTATAATCTCCAAAATAACAGAATGATATGTTTGAATCCAAGGCAAACCATTCAATATCATAATACTAATAAGTTTATGTTCCAATCACTGATGCTGATGAGTCTGAAGTTGATCAGTTCTATGAAGACTTAAAACATCTTATAAAAATAACACTAAATAAAGATGTCACCTTCATAATAGAGGTTTGGAATGCTAACACAGGAAATCAAAAGGTAATTGGAATAACAGGAAAGTTTGGCTTTGGAGTTCGAAATAAGGCTGGGCTGAAACTAATAGAATTTTGTTAAGATAACTTGCTGGTCACAGCAAATACTCCTTTTCAACAACTCAAAAGATGACACGACATATGGACATCACCATATATATGGTCAATATAGAAATCAGACTGATCATATACTTTGCAACCAAAAGTGGAGAAGCTCTATACAGTCAGTTAAAATAAGGTCTGGAGCTGACTGGGGCTCATATCATAAGCTTTTTATTGCAAAATTCAGACTTAAAATGAAGAAAGCAGAGAAAACCATCAGACTGTATAGGTATGACCTAATTAATATCCCTTATGAATATGAAGCAGAAGATGATGAACAGATTGAAGGGATTAGATCTGGTAAATAGAGTGCCCTAAGAACTATGGACAGAGGTTTGCAATATTGTATACGAGACAACAATAAAAATCATCACAAAGAAAAAGGCAAGAAAGCAAAATGGCTATCTGATGAGACTTTACAAACAGCTGAGGAAAGAAGGAAAGTGAAAGATAAAGGAGAAAGGGAAAGATATACCCAACTGAATGCAGAATTACAGAGTAACAGTAAGGAGAGAGAAGGTTTCCTTAAATGAGCAATGCAAGAAATAGATGAAAATAATACAATGGAAAAAATGAGAGATCTCTTCAAAAAACAGCAAGAAAACATTTCATGCAAAAATGGGCATGATTAAAGACAAAAATGGCAGGGACTTAACAGAAGTAAAAGAGATTAAGAAGAAGTGGCAAGAATATACAGGAACTATTCAAGAAAGTGGTGTGGTTACTGATCTAGAGCCAGACATCCTGGAGAATGAAGTCAAGTGGGCTTGAGGAAACATTGCGAACAATAAGGCTAGTGGAGATGACGGCATTCCAGCAGACCTATTTAAAACCCTAAGATGATGCTGTTAAAGTGGTGCACTCAATATGTCAGCAAATTTGAAAACTCAACACTGGCCACTGAATTGGAAAAGATCAGTTTACATCCCAGTCCTAAAGAAGGGCAATACCAAACAATGTTCATATTACCAAACAATTTTTCTCATTTCACACACCAGCAAGGTTATGCTTAACATTATGCAAGTCAGGTTTCAGCAACATGTGAACCAAGAATTACCAGAAGAGTAGGCTGGTTTTCAAAGAGGCAGAGGAACCAAAGTGCCAACATTCACTGAATTATAGAGAAAGCAAGAGAGTTCCTGAAAAACATCTACTCCTGCTTCATTAACTAAAGCCTGTGACTATGTGGATCACAATAAAATGTGGCAAGTCCTCAAAGAGATGGGAGTACCAGATCATCTTACTTGCCTCCTGAGGAAAATGTAAGTGGGCCAAGAAGCAACAGTTAGAAACAAACATGGAACAACTGACTGGTGTACAACAAGGCTGTATTTTGTCACCTTATTTAACTTCTGTGTAAAGTGTATCATGCAAAATGCCAGGCCAGATAAATCAAAAGCTGGAATCAAGTTTGCCAGGAGAAATACCAACAATCTCAGATACGCAGACAACACCACTCTAATGGCAGAAAATGAAGAAGAATTAAGAAGCCTTTTGATGAGAGTGAAAGAGGAGAATATAAAAGCTGGCAGAAGCTTAACAACAAAAAACTAAGATCTTGGCAACTGATCCCATCATTTCCTGGCAAATAGAGGGAGAAGAAATGGAAGCCGTGTCGGGTTTTATATTCTTGGATTCAAAAACCACTGCAGACAGTGACTACAGCCATGAAATTAAAAGATGCTTGCTCCTTGGAAGGAAAGCTATGGCAAATCTGGACTGCACATTAAAAAGCAGAGATATCACCTTTCAACAAACGTCCATAGAGTCAAAACTATGGGCTTTCCAGTAGCAATGTATGGTTTTAAGAGCTGGACTATAAGAAAAGCTGACGCTTTTGAATTGTGGAGCTGGAGAAGACTTTTGAGAGTCTCTTGGACAGCAAGGAGATCAAATAAGTCAATACTTGAAGAAATTAATTCAGATTATTCACAAGAAGGTCAAATGCTGAAGCTGAAACTTAAATACTTCCCCCACATAATGAGAAGACAGGACTCACTGGAAAGGACTTGATGTTGGGAAAGATTGAAGGCAAGAGGAAAAGGGAATGGCAGAGGATGAGAAAGATAGTTTTCACGGAAGCAACAAACATGACCTTGGACAGACTTTGGGAGATAGTGGAGGAGAGAAGGGCTTGGGGTCACAAAGAGTCAGACAAGATTGAACAACTGAACAACAATAACAATAAGTTCAGGTGCATGGATGAAATTAAGCATGATGAAATCAATATTCCAATTTCAAAGTTAACATGCTATGGTAGTTTATAGTACTTAACATGAAACATTAAAATTAGATTTCCAAAAATGAAGTTTAGATACGATACCATTAAATTTGCTATTTTGCTCTCTCTTGAAGTGTATTCTCTTAACATATAAGTCTTGTCAGCCTATTAAAAATAAAAAGATAATATTTGATTGTACTGATTTATAAGTCTGCTTTTATGTGTTATACATATGCATTAATTTTTTAACAAGTTACGAAAGCAACATATAGCCTGATAATGGCAACTTGCTTTGTAAAAAGATCATGACTTCTATTTATCTTCTTTAACCCAAAGAATGAGTTATCAATTCTAGTTCAGTAATTGACATCACAAAAGAACCGTATGCACAAATGTATGCAAATATGTAGGGGCAACCCAAACAGTGAATCATCAAAACTACTGTAACGAAGCAACAGTATCAACTTAATATATGTAATTGATAAATTCAAATGACATTATTCTACCTCAATCAGGAGCTGGTAGTACACTTTCTTCAATGTTTTACTAAATAAAAAATGAAATATTACCCTAAATCTTAAAACTGTTAGAGATTTTCTCATCATCTACATAAACAATTATCTATGATCCAAAGAACTTTAACAATTTTTTCTCTTCCCCCATTTCCAATATGACTTATTGTGTGACATATCACAAGATGCTTCTAGACCTCAGTTTTCCCTTAATAGTTAAGACTTTCTTAACAAAGGCTTTAAAGTGCTTGCTTAAATAAACTATAATTTCATTTCTGAATGAAATTCTTTCCAAGAAGAGGAAAGATGTGTTTTTTAGGCAGAAAAATATACCACATTCTCAGTATCAATCAGAATGTTGCTCTGCAGTTCTGTTTTGTGTCTGTGTTTATGTGCACACTGCATGCTTTTGATTTGCAGGGGGCGGAGGAGTGGGGGGAAGGGCTGAGAGGGAGGGACCAATCTGTTTTTTTTTTAAACTGATGGATACATCTCTTTATTTCAAGAAGAAAGAACCTTTACCTAATCATCTCAAGTTTTTAAGAAAAGGGAATTCCAACTCACAGAAAATTTTAATTAGTATATAACATGACTACAAATCTGAAGTTCAAATCCCATTAAGAAAATTTAAATTGCTACAGAGCCTAAGGACAGGAACCAAAGGTAAATGAAATTTATAAACACTTATATCAGTATCTTCTTAAAAAACATCTTTAGACGTTTAACTTCTGACTTGTCTCAGTTTTTTAAAAGTGCTTAACCTTAAAAGGTTATTTTGCAGAGTTTACTTTTCTACAGTATAGCTAAGAATTTTAGAACCATTAAATTTTTGTGGAAGATGTTTCTTAATATTATGATAGCCTTTGTTTTTACATTAAATTTATTCCCAAAATAGCCCTGCCTCCTTCCTAACTAACGAGCCATCTCTTGTCAAAGAGATTTAAAACAGAAGGGGGGAAAAAGCAAATCCAAGCAACCTACCAACTGTATCTGACAGTATAATCAATATTCTACAATCAACCCTCTACCTCTGCAAAAAAGGGAGAGAACTGATTTTTCTCATCTCTTCTCTGAGACCAAGCTTGATTATTATAATTATACAGCAGAAGCATTAACTATGATACTTTTAAAACAAATTTCAAAATGGCATGTGGTCCAAAATTCCAAAATCAGGACAAATCTATATTCATTTTACAGACAGATAGAAAGATTTCACTTACTTGCACCTTAACTACTCTGGGGAGTTGGGTGGGAATTAGTCCTGCGATTACATTGGCCTAATGTAGGGAGACCTCTGCTTTGCCATTTATGATTTTAGTTTCCTAGTGCACTAGGAGATTAAGTAATTGACTTGGTGTCACAGAACCATTACCTTTCAGAGGCAGGACTGGACAGTAGGTTTTCCTAACTAAGGCCAGCTCTTTATCCACTACTCCAAGCTGTCTCTCTTCCTAAGCACAGAATGAGCATATGCAAAATCGAAAAGATGTGAATCCCATCTAACTTTGCTGTCATACACAACCCCATGCTTGCTCAAAGTTCTATTAGATTTTTAAACTAAAAGAAGATTCAATGCTTCAATAACAGTAAATACAACAGAAAACTTCATAAAACATACCTTGATAATTAAGAGAGATTAGATTAGCACAGTACCTAAAACAATTAATTTCAAACTACTCAAATTTTCATTCTAATACTACAAGAGTCCACATAAATTTGTACAAGGTATAAGAAATAGATACCTCATGGTAAAGCCTTGTGTCATTCATCCTGATGAGCACACCATCAATTCTTAAGAAAAATCTCAACAGCAGGAAAAAGCTAGAAGGCATCACTCTCTGAAAGAGAAAAGAAAAGTACACTGCTGTTTATTTTAGCAAAAATTGAGCTTTTCTACAAGCCATGCTTTTCAAGTTATGGCACACTTTGTCAATGGTAGTAGTAAGTGAATTTTAAATGAGCTCACATTAATATATACCACTTCACAGTATAAAAAATGTTTTTTCTCACAATCCTCTTTACCGATAGAGGTGGTGAGAATTTAATGAAAAGAATGCTGAACCCAGAGTTGGAAGACCCTAATCCTAACACCAATCATTTAACCTTGTTCAAATTACAACCACTCTGTGCCTTAGCTTCCTGATCCATAAAACGTTATGTCACAAAGATATTAAAAATAAAATGAAAATAAAAAGATGCTTTAACACTCGGGAAAAGCAGTGACACAGGGACCCACAAAGTCTTAGTATGGTTTTAAGCTTTAATAGTTTAAAACTCCATTAAGGCTTTTGGGGTCCCCTGTATTACTGCTTTTTTTTTTAAGACTTAAGGATATTTTTATTCTAATTTTATTTTCAAAATACTTGTGACAGGAGCATTTAAGCACGAAAACCCTTTAGATCACCATGTGATACAAAGAAAATGCATCACTAGTCATCTCTTCGTGCTATCCACTTCTGTACATAATTAGATATACCAGATATGAGACCCAGAACTACTTTTAGCTTAATACCATTGAATAGGCACAAATTTATATAGCCAAAGGTTGACCTAACCGTGCATAGTATCAATGCTATCCACTCTACTTCATTTGTAGCACACAAGAAAATTCTTAAATTCACCAAAGTAAACCAAGTATGTTATGGAAAAGAATATACTTGTCTAGGATAATGAAAATGGAAGAGAGATAAAGCTCCAATCTTGCTGGTTCAGTTGCTTTGGAGAATTGCTAATGCCAAATTCCTCAGTGAATCACTCAATCACAAAATCTCAGAGGCCATCTTTGATCCTCTTCTTTTCCCAACAGTGTTTAAAAACCCTTTCTATTAACCTTATGTTTCCTCACCAGCCTCAGCTCATTCTGAGCTTTATCATGTGTGATAGTACTTGTATAGTATAAAGACACAACTTGGTCTCCAACCGCCATTACCTAACCTTTCTAACATCACCTGAATGTCTGCCTCCCTCCCTTTTATAAAATAGCTTTTTTAAAAATTCATTTTTCAAAATTATTTATTAACATTCTTTTCTTTTAAAATTTTGAGTTCCAAATTTTTACCTTCCTCCCACCCCCTCTCCCAATGACTGAGAAGGCAAACAAAATTACATCAATTATACACGTAGAATCACATAAAACATATTTCCATATTAGTCATATCGCCAAAAAAGCAAGAAAATTATATTTCAATTTGCACTCACTTCATCAGTTCTCTTTCTGCAGGTGAGTCATCATGAATCACTTGGAATTGTCTTAGATCACTGTACTGATCAGAGCAGCCGAGTCTTTCACAGTTGATCATCATTACAACATTGCTGTCACTGTGCACAATGATCTCCCAGCACTTTAGTTTGCTTCAGTTCATATAGGTCTCCTGGCCATGTTTTTTTTTTCTCCTGAAACCACCCTCCTCATTTCTTATAGCATAATAGTATTCCATCACAATCATATACAACTTGTTCAGCCATTTCCCAAATGATGAGCATCCCCTCAATTTGCAATTCTTTGCCTCCACAAAAAAGAGCTGCTATAAATGTTTTTGTACACAGAGGGCCTTTTCCTTTTCCTTTTCCTTTGATCTCCTTGGGGTATAGACCTAGTATTGCTGGGCCAAATGGAATGCAGAGTTTTACTGTTCTTTGGGCATAGTTCCAAATTGTTCTTCAGAATGACTGGACCAATTCACAAGCTCACTAACAGTACGTGGATGTACCTATTTTTCCTCATCTCCTCCAACATTTGTCATTTCTAATAGATATGAGGGTGTACCAAAAAGTTGTTTTAATTTGCATTTCTCTAATAAATAGTGAGTTAGAGAATTTTTTTCATATAACTATAAGTAGCTTTGGTTTCTTCTGAAAACTGCTTGTTCATATCCTTTGACCATTTGTCACTTAAGGAATGGATCTTATTTTTATAAATATGACTCAGTTCCCTATATATTTAAGTAATAAGGCCTTTACTAGATAAACTTGCTGTAAAATTTTTTTTAAATTACTTCATTAATAAAACTATGGTATCTATTAGTAAAATGTAGTTTTCCTGTTTATTTCCTTTTCTGTTTTCACTTTTGCTGAAATTGGTACTCCTGCTTTTTTTTTTATTCTGCTTCAGCCCTTTATTTTAACTCTGTATGTCTTTTTGTTTCAAGTGTGTCTCTTGTATATTGGGTCTCTTGGTTGCTAATCCATTCCGCTACCTGCTTTTGTTTTATGGATGAGTTCATCCCATTCATACTCACCACGATGATTACTAATTGTATATTGTTTCTTGATATCTCCTGGAGTCTTTAAGCTTCCACTTGCCTAATTTTAATATTTAAGCAATTATTTTCTTCGGTGGGCTTTTGTATCTCTTTTTCCATTTGGCTAATTCTTTTTAAGGAGTACTTGTCTTCAGTAAATTTTTATGCCTATTTTACCACTAGGCCAACTCTTTGTTTTTTAAGGTGCTATTTTCTTCAGTATTTTTTGTGCTTCTTTTACCAAGCTGTGAATTCTTTTTTCATAATTTTCTTGCATCACTCTCATTTCTTTTCCCAAATTTTCCTCTATCATTCTTATCTCTTTCTTTAACTCTTCCAAGAATCCTGTTGGGCTTGTGTCCAGTCAGCATTTTTCTTTGAGGCTTTAGTTGTAGGAGTTTTCACATCGTTATCTTCTTTGGAGTTTGTGTCTTGGTCTTCCTTGCCACTGCGGTAGCTTTTAATTGTCAAGTTCTTTTTATGTTGTTTACTCATTTTTCCAGTCTATTTCTTCACACTGAACTCTTATGTTAAAAGTTGGGCTTTGCTCACTTGGGGTTGTGGAAGCCCTGTTCCAAGCTTCTAGCTTTTTTGTGCCATTCTTTTCTGAGCTAGTTCTGAGGGTCTTCAAGTTTTTGACGGTTCCAAAGTGGAATGATAAAGTAAGTGGTGTAGTCACTGCTCTCCTGGTCTACACTCTGGTCTCTACCCAGGAAAGACCCTTGCTTCCCTGCAGCCACAAGCTATAGTACTCCTCTTGGCCTTAGAATTGTGATCACGACCTTTGTTCTCCTGCAGCCACAAGCACTAGCACTTTTCTCCATCTTGGAATGTGATCAGGGCCCCTGCTTCCTTGTGATCAACCACAAGCACTCTTTTCTACCCTGGAATCATGAGCCAGAATTGCTTACGGGCAATAAAGTTGCCAATCAGCACCAGCAGCACCCAATGCCAGCAAAGAGTCCCCTGGACTCTCTTCTTGACCAGTAGTCCAATGCCCTTACTGTCTCTGGGCTGAGAACTCTTGAAGCCGCTGTTGCCGCCACTGTGGCAGCATCTCCAAGGCCCACTGCTGGTATTTCTGCCACGTTCCAGGCTGACCATTCTAGTGTCACAGACCTCTCCTACGGACCTCCTGACTTGTCTTAGGTTGAAAAAATGTCTCACTCTGACTTTTTGTTGGCTCTGCTACTCCAAAATTTGATTTGAGGAGTTATTTTAAATTTGTTTGGAGGGGAATACGGGGAAAATTCATCTGGGCTGCTGCTTGTACTACGCCATCGTGGCTCCACCTCCATCTGCATGTGTTGGGAACCAGAACTGTAAGGCCTCCAGGCTGAAGATTTTGTGTAACTTATCCCAGAAATAATAAGTAGCCACTGAAGACTTTGAACAGGGGAATGACATAAGTAGAGCTGTACTGAGGAGTATCAATTTGTCAGCTCTGTAGTAGATGGACTGGGGAGGGGAGACATTAGAAACAGGGCCACACTTGGTTCAAATTTCACTTTTTACATTTTACTAGCTGTGTGACCATAGGCAAGTCCCTTAGCATCTTTGTCCTTTAGTTTCTTCATCTGTAAACAAAGTATAGTGCCTTTTGTATCTACCTTTCAGGGTTTTTGTAAGGCTCAGATTTGGGAGTCCATAAAATACCTTGTAAGTTTTAAAGCACCTATATAAATATTGGTGATTATTCTCTATCTAGGATTGGAAAATAGGACATGTATGAAATAAGACTATGCAAGGTAAGACAATTAGTTATTGTCTTATAACTATGAAAGATTTCTTCTTGACAGAGTCATCAGGAAGTTCTTATGGTCAAAATCATATTTAAAGTGGTCCTTATAACCCAAACGAGATTTCCCGGGGGGGGGGCCAGAGTGAGATAGGAGGGTAGAGTCCAGATTTTGCCCTTCTGTCTCATGGTTCAGTCCCTCCGAGGTAGCATGGCCCAATCTGATTCCTAAAACTCCATCTTAAAAGAAAAGACTCAGCATCCCTAGAGAAGTTTACCCTCTTTTTTTCCTGTAGCTTACCTGGAAAGGCATATCAAACTTAATGCTCTATAATCATACCTGTGAACACCCAAGAAGCAGTATACCAAAAATGAGTACAACATTAGGCTTTAAGCTTAGAAAAGCTCCAAAGTAGCTGACTTTTAACATGCAACTCAAGTCCACAAAATATTTATTACTCATCATGCATAAAGCATGGGACTAGATGCTGGGAAGAGAGATGAAGTAAGATACATTTAGGAAGCTAACAATATGAGAGAAGATAAAATAGATTTACAAATAAACAGTAAAAATTAGAAAGCTACATTCAAAGAAGTTCAACTAAAATGCTACAAGAAATCATTTGTAATTCCACTTACTAACCACTAGTTGCTACCAGAAAGAAGGGAGAAGTCGGGATCCCTCCCTCTCTGCTGCTCATTTCTACATCTGCAGACAGAACGTGGAAGGATAAAGGAGCATTTGGTGCCTTTGTACACGATTGCACTGCCATCATCGTCTTACAGACATAAGATCCTACATTCATTAACAGATATATCCAGATATCAAAATGTATTGAAGAGTGTAAGCTATCTGAGATTTTCTCCAAATTCAGTAATGGACACACTACAAAAACATGTTAGGTATTTACATATAGATAATTGAAGTCATCAATATGACATAAAAATTTCCCAAATGTATATTTTTTATATTGCTATTCACATGATGTATAATCTAAAAACACAAAATGTCACATTTAATGTATCGTGACTTAATGGATATGTTTTATATCTCTATTAACTCAACAAGGATGTTTTCCCATACTTAAGCAAAAGCAATTACTATACTCACAATTTTCACACTTAAGCTTGAAACTCCATGATCATGAAGTTCATCTTCAAACAACAGAACTTCCTCAAAAAATTTAATCTGTTCCCTGGCTTTCAATTTCTCTGTATCTATATGATCTGTTGTAGGCACAACCTGGAAAGGAAATTTTTAAAAATTAAGAGAGGTCAATTATGATGCTTCCAGCCTTCCCTATCTCCCTCAAGTTCCACCGATCAGAATCAGTCCAAAAGGGTTATACAGCACTTTATCTGGCTGTCATGGATAGACAGTAAATATTAGATATGTTCTTTGTCACTGACTAGCTAAATCTGAAATACCACTGTAACTTCTAGTATCCCACCACAGAGCAGATTTTCAGAGGAGAAGCAGAACAAATAAACTACTACAAAAAGAGATTTAAAGGTGAGAGAATAAGCTCCGTTTTAGTATGGTTAAGTGACCTTAAATATAAAGAAACAAGATAAATCAGTTCAACACAAAAAATCAAAGAGTTAAATTTACCTTTAACTTAAGTGCTTCACCAAGCAATGTTCCTTTGTAATCTGTGGTATAGGTCCAATCATAGGGTCTAATAATCTCTTTGGAGTGTTCACCCTCAGCCCTCAATGACCAAAAAGAGAAGGATTGTATTCAGTGACACAGAAGAAAACTTGATAAAGTATATAAACATCCTTCCAAAGTATATTCTACAAATGGTACTAAACAGCTCACTCACCCACATGCCTTATTAATGTGTAAACTCTACTTTGGCCATTCTAAACAATTCAAACTGTTACTGAAATCACATATAGTCATTTAATTTTATACATGATTCCTTCTTATCTGTCCAATTAGACTATAAACTGTAGGAAGATCGGGCCCATACTTTATATTTATTTTCAACCTTTATACTTATATTCACAGAGCTTTTCAGGTAATAAATAAATACTGGTAAAAAGCAGGCTTTTTTCTTTTAATTTCTATAATCCTCACATATTCTCAATGAGAATCAAAAGAAGCAAGTACCAATGTTATTCAAAAATAGTTACTGAGGTCAAAAGAGAAGCACAATTATTTAGGTAGAACGTTTCATTTAAATATACTAACCCTGAAATAAATACAGCTCAAGCAGTGTTTATTTTGATTGTGAAAGCTGCCTCCATTTTACAGTTGAGTCAACTGAAGTCTGAAAAGCTAATAAAACTCACTGTCTATTCCAGAAGTGGAGAACCTGTGGCCTCAAGGCCACATGTGGTCTTCTAGGTCCTTGGGTACAGTCTTTTGACTGAGTCCAAGTTTTACAGAACAAATCCTTTTATTAAGGAGATTTATTCTGGGAAGTTGGATTCAATCAAAGGGCTGCACTTGAGAACCCAGAGGGCCACACGTGGCCTCGAGGCTGCAGGTTCCCCACCCCTGGATTCTAATGACACATACCCCAATCCAGTTACTGTACAGTTCATCCACCTTTTACTCAATTTCTCACCTGCTCTCTTGCCATTCTTCAGCACATGCTACCTTAAGCACTCCCTGGTAGTTGTTTACACATTTTAAAGCATCAGTCGCATTGAACTCAATTCCAAAGCCAGAAACATGTTGGATTCTTAAAACGTTGTCTCCAAACATCATTTCAGGAAGAGATGGCATGTGTAGCTCATCAGCTAATCTGCATATGGCCAAAAATCATATACCGTTTTGTTACTTTTAGTCCTCCACTTTTTTGGTTTAATAATACTCTGTATAGAAGGATGAAAAGTCTGTGTAGGACTTTAAATATGTGTGTGTGTGTGTGTGTATATGTATATATGTGTGTGTGTGTATGTATGTGTGTCTATATATAATGTGTGTGTGTATATATATAAACACACACACACACACATACACACACACACACACATATATACATATTTAGGCAATTGGAGTTAAGTGACTTGCCCAGGGTCACACAGCTAGTAAGTGTTAAGTGTTTGGTCTGAGGCTGCATTTGAACTCAGGTCCTCCTGACTTCAGGGCTGGTGCTCTATCCACTACGCCACCTAGCTGCCCCTTGTAGGATAAATATTAAAAATACATATTTGAACTCTAATATCAGTCCAGGATATGTTTTAAAAAGGGAAAGGCACTGCACTAAAGAAAACAAATCCAGAAAGCACAATTGGGCCAGACCAAGATACACAGAGGAAGTTTATCAGTCACCACCACGTGCCATGCCCTGGGCCAAGTGCTGGGAAATACAAAGAAAGATCAAAGCCACTCTCTGCTCTCAAGAAGCTCACAGTCTAACAGGAAGATAACATGCAAACAACGATACACAAACAAGACATATGTAGGATAAATAGGAAATAATCAACAGAGGGAAGACCCTAGAATTAAAAGGAACCAGGAAAGACTTCTTGCAAAAGGTGGGATTTTAGTTGGGACTTGAAGGAAGTCAAGGAAGCCAGGAGGTGGAGACGAGGGGGGAAAGCATTCTGGTGTGAAGGCTAACACCAGTTTGAGGCCACTGAAAGATCACCAGATCACAAACCTAGAGCTCGAAGGAACCTCAGAAGTCATCCTGTGCAACCACCTCAATTGAGATAACCGAGGTCCAGGGAAGTAAAGTTACTTGTCCAAGGTCATCCAGGTATTAAACCTAAGAGACAAGATTTCAACCTAAGTCTTCTGACTCTGGCCTGTGTTAAAATGTACTGTATTAAAATGCCTTACTAGATCAATTCTCATGGTATCTGAATGAAGGAAGGCTACTCAAACTCCCTAGGGGAAAACAAACAGAAAAAAAGGGAAAAAAACAAACTCAATTCATATGCCTAACTTTCCTGTTTCTATAAAATGTTTATAACAATCTATATACATAATAAGGAAAAGGGATCAGGGAGGCTACCACAAACTACATTCTTTAGGAGACCACATCTTTATAGTTACACAACTGACTAAAAGATGCAGAGAATAAATGACCCTACTGTTTGTTGCTTGTAAAAAAGCATTTGATTTAGTAGAGTAAAATAACACTTTAAGGGAGCTCTTTCAACAAGGTACCGCCCATACATGTTAAAAATCATACAAGATTTAGTGAAAGATATCGCCAGAGATAACTTTGTTCAAGGACCCTATGATTATTAAAATCAAATGAGGAAGACAAAAAGGAGATGATTGCCGAAGGTGTTTGTCACTGTAATGTAGAATGTTCAGTAGAGGGGCTCCCTAATTCCCTAAATATCACAGTCTCACAGCTGGAAGGGATCAGAGTAGCCATCAAATGAAACATCCGTAAAGAGCTTAGCACAGTGCCTGGCACATAGCAGACACTTAACAAATTCCTCTTTCCTTATTTCATTCTTTCCGTCCATCCAATTAATCCAACTCATAGTGAAAGAATCCCATCTACAACATATCCAACAGGTGGCCACCCAGACTTTGCTTGAAAACCTCAAGAGAGGTGAAATCCATTACACCTGAAGAGGAAGCCAATTCCACTTTTGTACAGTTCCAACTCTTAGGAAATTTTTCCTTAAAGAGAATAGTATTTGGGAAAATATGCAGTATTTTCAGTGACTTCAAATCTCTCCATAAAACAAAGGCCCAAATTTTCAACATTGTTATTTTTCTGGTGTTACTCAAAGGGTCTAAACAGGAAGAAGTGTATTCCAAAAGCAAGTATAAAAGATGAATGAATTTAAAAAGTATTAATTGCTTACTATGTGCAAAACACTGTACTAAGCATGGTAGAAAGAGGGTGAGAGAGTATATTGGATCTGAAAATAAAATGTTCTATACAAATGGAAAACGAGTCCCTCCTCTCAAAGAGTTCACATTCCAATGGGGGAGACCACAAATAGGGAAGGTTTCAACTGCAAATCAGATGGAAAAGTTCCATGGTCCTTAGGGCACACAAAGAAGATAGTACTGCCTCTCTTTAATGTCTTCTCTACTGATAAAAATCCTATCAGTTTCTTATGTTTAGACATTTGACAGGACTTTGGTGGCAAGAACTTTCTTTTCTGTGTCTTCAAAAGCTGTGGTTTCAACACTTGCCAGATTTTGTCTCCACTGAGGTTGTTTCCCAGGATAATGGCGGCAGCTGCTAAACTGGAAAGTTAGTCTCACAGCCCTTAATGTTGAGTTCAGGGTCCTGGGCTGTCTCTATCAGAGTCTGAGGGTAGATGGTGGTCAAAGTAGAGGTGGTGTTAGGAGTGGTTTGATGGCCTGGGACATGCAGCTTCAGGCCTCCTCAGAGTCCCTTGCTACTTCAGCCAGGCAGTTAGTGGAGATGCCTAGCTCTTTCTCCACAGGAGTTGCTTCCCTGCGGATGACTGTGAGGACTGGGGTGGAAGAAGGACCAGTAGTGTAGGAGGTAGGCTTTTGTTCCTAGGGTTCTTGTACTCATTGGCCTGCTGGTGTCAGTTAGTCAGCAGTTATTTCTTGCAGTGATGATGAAGGTGGGACCCTTCTCCACAATGATTTCTCCCCATAATGATGGCTTTGGGGACTGGGCTGGAAGTAGGTCTGGTAGTTCAGGGAACACTGCTCTTCCCAAGACTCTTGGATTCAGGATCCTGAGCCGTCTCAATCAGGGTCTGACAGGAGATGGTAGTCAAGGTGATGGGGGAGGGGGCTCACTTGATATAATAAAAGAGATGTATATTTGGAAGAGGTTATTTTTAGATAAGGATAACAAACTGTAGGTGCATTTCAATGGTACTCATTTCAGTTTTCTCATCAGTCAAATGAGGGGGGTTAGACTCAATGGCCTCTGAAGTCCCTTCCAGCTCTAAATTTATGATCTTATGAATCCTTTAACAAACACACACACACATTATCCCTATTTTACAGATGAGGAAAGGGAAGCTCTAAGAAGTTGGGTAACGTGCCCATGAGATGTAATATGGGCTACATGATAGGGAGCTAGACCACCTGCTGCCAAGAAGAACTAGGTTCAATACTATTTTTCTGTACGAAATGATGAAAAGAAGGGTTTCAGAGAAACATGGCAAACTTCATGTGTACTGATTGCAGAGTAAAGTGAGCACAGCCAGGAGAATAATTCGTATAGTAACAACCATACTGTAATGACAAACAACTGTGAAAGACATGGGAACTCTGATAAGCACAATGACCAAACATAATTCCAAATGACACAAAACATGCTATCTACCTCAGGATAGGTGACTACAGATTGAGATTTTTTTTTTTGTACAGGACCAATGTAGGAATGTGTTTTGCTTAACCATACATGTTTCTAACAGTTTTGTTTTTCTTCCTTTTCTCAATGGAAGGGGAGTACAGCAGATGAAGGCAAGGGGAGACAGAGATGTGGATCTGAAATTTAATTTTTTTCCCAAAAAGGGTCTGGGTTCAAATCACACAGTCACTTACCAGTGATGCCTTCTAGTTTTAAATCTATGATCTTGTGATGACCACACCACTATTAAGTGAACAAAGCAGACTTCACAAACTGGTTTCCTGACTCTAAGTCTGGTGCTTCTAAGAAGGTTTTCATAGAAATATATTTTTCAAATAACTGAAACTTATCCACTTGAGTCAAAGTTTTTGTATATTAATACTTTCCTGGTAATTCTTTTTAAAGTACACTAAACATAACCTGACTTCTTCCCCATATCTCAGTGCCATAGTGTGAACATCAAGTATTATATTATATCATGACATTCACCTTCTAGTACACTCTAAGCCCAGGGTTCTTAAATCTTGCTAGGTCTGAAGCCCAAAGACCCTTTCTTAGAGTAATGTTTTTAAATGCATAGAGTAAAATTCATAAGATTACAAAGGTATCTATATTAAAATAGGGATCAAAATTTTAAAAAAAAATCCTCAGACCCCTGGTTAAGAACTGCTACTCTCAGTACTCCAAAGATAAGGTGATTCTTGTTTATCTTTATTCTCTATGTGCCCTCACACAGACACTGTATTTATAAATGTCCTGATCTGTGATTTCACCAGCATAAGGAACTGCCCTAGAGAATACTTCTTTACTATTTTGTAATTTGGAATCTTAGAGAACTCCTGGGCATTAAGAGAGGTTATATGATTTGTCCAGGATCACAGAAAGAACATATAGAAGAGGTGGGACTTGAAACCAGTTCTGACTCCTGACTTGCTGCTCTGAGATCTCTATCTACTATCTTCTGCTATTTATATGCCTCATATTGCACACAGCAAGCACTTAATTATGTCTATCAAATATTGACTATTGCTGCATTCTAGTGCCACAATATAAACAGTCCCAGGTACTGAGTTGTGTTGGCCTTTCAGTTTGTCTTTTCTTCTCCTGTCAGAATATCAGTGGTCTTACCTTCTGCAACAATTCCTCACATCTTTAACTGCGCAAAATGATGGAACACCAGATAAGACAACTTGTTAGAACTTGGTATAAAAAGTAAAGATGTTGGAGAATGGCTAAACAAACTGTGGTACATGGATGCAATGACATTTTATTGTGCTTTAAGAAACAAAGACTATGAATACAGAGAAGCATGGGAATACTTCTATGAACTGATGTAAAGTGATATAAGCAGAACCAGGAAGACAATACACAAAATGACTATAGCAATGTAAATGTAAAGAGCAGCAACAATAAACCAAGTGAAAAAATTCTGTCAAATTATGACCAAACTCAGTGCCAAAGAAAAAGTATGAAAAGACACCTCTTTCTCCCCCTTTTTCCAGATATGAGTGACCAAGCACGGGATATACTACAAATAATATGTTTTTTGGCATGTTGGTTAATTTCGTAGAATTTCTTTTTTTGCTCTTTTTTTATTCAATGGCCCTCTAGAAAAGGATGGGGGCAGGATACACTGGGAAATACAGACAATGAACAAACAAAAGTTATCTGTAAATTTTTTAAAAAAGATGTTCTGTATAAGATAGCCTGAGAGATTCTCCTGAAAATAAAGCAAACAGATTCTAGAGCAGGAACCTAGGTGACCAATTGCTTTATACATAATTAGCACATGAACTAGTAAGGCTTAATCACTTGCCTGTAGCTGACTGCCAGCAAGGATAAAAAGAGCAGCATTGATTAATTTAGTAATTGTAAAAAACTGATACAGCATTCACACAAGTAGGTTTCTCATCATGTGCCCTACTATTTTTTAAACACTTATCCTGGAACAGAAAAATGTGGTCTAGAGATTCCTGAGGGTCTTTGAGGTCAAACTATATTCAAAATAATACTAAGACATTCTTTATATACTTCATAACCTTTACCCAAAGGGATTCCCCAAGCATCCATCTGGAAGCCTCATCTTTTGCTGGTGGTGGTGTTCAGTCGTTTCAATGATGTCCAACTCTGTAACCTGATTTGGGGCTTTCCTTCTCTAGCTCATTTTACAGACGGGAAAACTGAGGCAAACAGGCATTAAGTGACTTCCCCAGGATCACACAGCCAGTAAATGTCTGAGGCCAGATTTGACCTCAGGAAGATGAATCTTCCTGACTGCAGGCCAGCACTCTATCCACTGTACCACCTAGGTGCCTTTGTCTTTTCCCTCTATAATACTTCAGATGATAATCTCATTAGCTCCTCCCCCCCATTTCAATTATCACCTCTATGAAATGACTCTCAGATCTACTCATCCAGCCTTAACATCTCTGTTGACCTCCAGCATCTCAAATCTCCAACTGTCTACTGGACATCTTGAACTGGATGTCTCATAGACATCTTAAATTCAATACAGTCTATCTAAAACTGAACTCATTATCTTTCCCCCCAAATCCTCCCCTCTTTAGTTCCCTATTAGTAGAGAAGGTACCATGATCCTCCCAGTCACCCAGGCCCAAAACTCAGGTCTCATCCTAAACTCCTAACTCTCACTTCGCCATATCCTATCAATTGTTAAGTCCCATCATCTCTACCTTCAAAACATTTCTATTATACACCCCCTTTTCTCCTTTGACATTGCAACTACTCTTGTTGCAGACTTTTATCACCTCCTGCTTGGACTATTTACAATAGCCTGCTGGTTGGTCTCCCTGCCTCAAGTCTCTGCCCTTCCAATTCATCCTCTATGCAGATGTCAAATTAAAACTCAGGTCTAACCATACCAACCCTCTAGTTTATTGAATACCACCTCCAGAACAACTATAGAATCCTGTTTGGCATTCAAAATCCTGCATAAATCTGGCCCTTTCCTCCCTTTCTAGTCTTCTTTCACCTTACTCCCCTCCACATGCACTCAAGATCCAATGACATTGGCCTTCTTGCTGTTCCTCAAACAGGAAAGTCCATTTCATGATTCCAAACATTTTCACTATCCCTTCAAACATGAAATACTCTCCTCTCCTGCCTTATCTCCACTATCTAGCTTCCTTCAATTCTCAGCTTAAGGCCCCACCTTCTGCAAAAGCCTTTCTTAGTCCTTGATGTGAGACCCATTGAATTCTGTATATACTTTGTTTGAAAACAGCTGTGTGCATGTGGTACACCTGATCAGAGTGGGAGCTCTTTGAGAGCAGGGGTTGTTTTTGCTTTGTTTTGTAGGCCTTTTGTTATATCACCAGAGCTTAGTACAGTGCCTGGCACGTGATAAATGTTAGCTCAGTAACTAATATGGTAAGAATCAATAGATATAACTCACACAAACAAAAGCTATTGGGGGAAGGCCCTCAATAATCTTTAAGAGTATAAAAGGGTCCTGAGATCAAAGAGTCTGAGAAGTGCTACTTTAGAGTATAAGCTCTATGATAGCTATTTTGGATTCTCATAGCTGTTTCTAAAAAGACTTCTGAGTTCCACGTTATATTCAAGGTGGCTGAGATCATTGAACTGCTATTGTACCCCAGGACACAGCCTCTATAAAAACTGCCAAAGGGTGCCTATTACAATTGAGAGAAATGATTATTTCTCTCATGTTAACAACCAATTACTGAATTAGGACTAAGACTGCCCCCCCTTCTATTTCCTCATTCCCTGTAGGCTATTCAGTCAGTTTTGAAGGGCAAGCTGATAGATGAAATCTTGGGCAGATACACCCCACGGGAAAAACTCAGAACTGATCAAAAGGTAAAGAGATTCTAGTCCAGTGAAATTCATCTCACAGTGTCAGCCAGGTCTGACTGCTCTAGGTGGTGGCAGTTTGGATAAGAGATCAGTCTCTCAGTTCAAGGTTGAGTGATCAGTCACATTCCCCCAGTCCCTCATTAGAATAAGCCCACCTCTCATTATAATATCAATTCATTGTTAACCAAGCAGAATTGGTTTCCAGCCTCAGAACACCTAACTTTTCTTCTAAGGTCATATAAACATTGAGTGGGTTCCATGAGAGGTCTCTGGCATTTGAGAGTGTCACTGACCTCTTTTATTATCTGCTAACATAATAAAATGATTAATTACCCAGAAACAATGTCTCTTACACTTTTTATATGTCACACAACTCAAAATTGTTGCTCTTACAATTTCTCTAAATCTTATCCCAATCGTATCTAATCAATACCAAACTGTAACCCATCAAAAGATGCTTTAATAACTAGGAGAGGGCAAAGAAGCAATTCAATTAGCATTTAATATAGCCTCTAATATATTAGAAGACACTGTGACAGGTGCTAGAAATTAAAAAAAAAAACTACTACCCTATATGAAGGGGGAGCCAATGTGTATTTCAATACTTCAATGAATCTGTAATCCCATGGATATTAAATTAAGTACTCCCTTCATGGTATGAACCAAAACCCATCCATGTCTTTTCATCCTATGAAATTCTTATCAATTTTCTTCAACAGAGAAGAACCATATTACATGATACAGGCCTTTTTACATTTTCAACATATCAACAGAACATCTGGGTTATCTGTTATCCCTTACTTTCCCATCTTCCATCATTTCCTCAATGATATCCACTTGAGCCACGTTGGCAGAAGCCAAGGTAGGAAAAAAAGGAAATGTTCTAGGGAAAATGTGAGGAAGAAGACAGTCTACTTCACTTTCAGAATCTCCTACCCAGATTTGTTTCAAGAAACTAGCTGGAGGGCTGGCTACTTATAATTAACCAGAAATAAGGGTACCACCTCCTGCTTCATTTCCGGTGAGATATATTCCCAACATTGCCAACTTCGTGAATATGTAGAAAATATTGCCTATGAATAAAATTTGTGTTGGTTGTTCTGGGGTTTTTTTTGGGAGGGAGAGTAGGTACTGTAATTTTGTTAGTATATGGAACTCCCTGTGTGAAAACTTCCTCCACCAATGCATGACAACTCCTAATATACATTCCCAACCATCAGCACTGACAGACTGAATGACTAGTCCTTGGTTAGTGTCAAAGGCAACATGTGAATAAAGGCTATATGAGAAATGCTATCTACCAATAAAGTTTGTTTTGAACTGATACTTTTTGATGTATTGTTTTGTTTTGGGTCACGGCCTGTGATTTTTTACATGTAAAGAACTTTCATTGTGAAAACTCTCCCTACCAATGTATAGGACAGCTCCTCCCAATTTACAGTCTTAAACAGTAGCCTGAAACCACTAGCCTAGAAATACTATCTATGAATAAAGTTTAGTTTTGGTTAGTGTTGTTGGTGTTTGGGGTTTTTTTGGGAGGGAACTTCCAGTGAAAACGCCTTCCCACCAATGCAAATAAGCAACCCCTAATTTACAGTCCTAAACAGTAGCCCCGAGCTCTGAGAGATTAAATGACTGGCCCTAGATTGCACAGCTAGTCAGGGTCAGAGGCTAGACAAGAACCCAGGTTTTCTGTGGATTTTGGATGCAGAGCTGGAAGGTGTAGAGCTTTGCCATTCAAAATCCGTCGAAAACCCGGGTTTTTGTCTAGCCTCTGACACTGACCCCTAGTTTTACAGAAGCGGAAATGGAGGCTCAGCTAGCCCCAGGCCCCACAGGGAGGTAGCATCTGAAGTGGGATTTACATACAGGGGGCCCTAGACTCCAGGGCCAATACCCTCGGCACCGCAAGAACTCGCCCAATTAGACCCTTCACACGCAGCGCTCTGCAGGGGCAAGGGGCTGTCAAACCGCGGCCGCGCACGCGCGCTCGCGGCGTCCTGGACATGGCCCCGCCGGCCGTTCTGCAGCAGCCGCCGAGGCCGGCCTCGAGGTCCCGCGGGGCCGGGGAGCGGCACCGAGAACGGCCGCCCCCTCCTTCTCCTGCCCATCCCCGCGCCCACGCCCGGCCTCTCGGCCTCGCCCTCTCCTCCCCGGCCCTCCCCAAACCTCACTTCTCCACATCGGCCGACTTCATGATGTGCGTCTTGGCCGCCGTCAGCTTCCATGGCCCGAAGGAGAACTCCTGGCGGCTGCTCTGGAAGCCGTGGATCATCATGGCCGCGGTGGCGGCGTGGAACCAGCGCGAGCGGCGGCGGCAGCAGCCTCCCTTCTCCCCCCCCCCCACCTCCCCCTCCTCCCCCGAGCCGTTACCATCCCCGGCCCCGCCCCGCTCCCCTCCGCTCCCCGGCCCGGACCAGCCCACAGCCTGGCCACCTCGTCCTCCCGCCCTCCTGCCGACCCGCCTGCCCCCGCCTCCTCCTTCCGCTTCCGGGAGCAGGTTGCCTGTGCGACGAGGCGGCGGCGCGCCGGAAGTCTTAAGAAAAGGAAGGGGGCGGGGCTAGAGGAGTCGAGAGGCGTGGCCTGCCCCCCCGAGCAGGCGCGGCTCCAGTGGCGTCATGGGGTGATGTCATCGCCAGTGTTTCCGCATGCGGGGGGCGGGGCTCAAGAAGTCGCCTGAGATATTGGTTTTTTATTGTTGCAGATTCCCAGCCCATAACTTTACTTTTTTTTTGTTTGTTTCCTATGGTCTGTTGCAGCTTCCCTTTAACTTCCCAGTTGAATGTTCTACGTCCGTTTATTGTCCAGGACCGGGTGGGAGCTCGGGCTCTGTTCATTTCTCGTGTCCGTGCGGCCTCCGAGGGGTAGAAGCCCCCAAGGCCTGTCCCCTGCAGCCTGGCATCTCACTGAGGGAAGGAGCGCTTCCAAAGGAAACAAAGCAAGACGAGGCTCAAGCTGACTGTAGATCTTTTGGAGATGCTAACAGTTCTGGTTATGCAGGCAATCCAAAAGGGTTCCTTCTAAACACACGCTTAGCCAAATGAAACTAGTTACAAAACGGCTATGCGCGATTCACGGCCTCTCTTAGGCACTTCCCTTGTAGGTCATCCTGATTCTCCCAAAAGCGAGTCTAACAGCATCCTCCACGTGGAGAACCTGCATCGGGCCTTACCCCTAGGAATACTGCCTTGCAGATTTGGTGGGATGGAGAGAGGTGTTGCTTATGCACGGGAACACGCGGATTTTACCCAGAATTCACAAAGTTCCTGCGGACTTTGGAGCTTGGAAGGAATTTTCTTATTGCAAGAAGTCACAAGGCCAGCATGCAGTGAGATGTAAAGGTTGTGGTACAGACACAAGTGTGCAGCAAATCCATTTGGCTACAGAATCATGGAATGTTTTAACTGGAAGGTAGCTTAGACATCTAGCCCGAATTTCCATTTTACCCTATTACCTCTTCTTTTTAGCTTCTTCAGTAATGATGAGCTCCTTATCCATTAACAGAGCCTATTGCATTGTTAGACCACTTCGACTGTTAGAACATTCATTATTATGTTGCACCAGAATCTGCTTTAAAATTCTGCAAGTAACACAGACTAAATCTCCTTTTTCCATATTTTAAACCTTTAAATATTTGAAGACAGAAATCATGCCCCTCCCAAATTGTCTTTTATCTAGGCTAAAATAAATTTAAAAGCTCCTTAAGCTTTCGATGCTGGATGCAACTGCTCTTATATCTACCCATATGATATTCTTTTGATCATCCTTGTCTTATCTGGTATGATAGCTCCAAGTGAACAGGGATTAGATGAAGTTCATGTTTGACATCATACCCAATGTAGTGGTAAGCCCAGATAAGGAATCTCTGACTAATTAACCAGTGTTTACTGACTAGGGTGTGTAGGGATTGATGGTGGGGTCTTACAAAATCAAAGGTCATTATAGCCTAGAACCTAGAAGGCGTAGAATTTGAACATCCTTGTACCTAAAAATGTGTACTTCCTACAGAAGATCAAGGCTTCACTATAATTACAACCCAACCAAGAATGCCTAAGGCATTGACCTTGGAGTAATTTACATTTCTATGAAATATAGAATTCTTAAGTGGATTGTGGAAATATCTTATGGGTTTAAGAACATGAAGCATGTAAAATTGAAATTTGGTGAAAATTTGGGAGTTGCCTACCATATGGTAAGCCCTTAATGTCAACTATCTGAGTGGGGATAGGGGTAGAAAAGATAAAATGGGGGCAGGAGAGAGGGAATGTCTTGAATTGTGGCTAAAGTGTAATACAGGGCAGGTGGATGGGTGACTAAGTTGTAAGTTGAGTAAGCCTGGAGTTGTTATATTATCAGAAGAAATCATCATGTTACTCAAGAAGAGAATTAATGACTCATGCCCAGTTATACCTCAGAGCCTTTTGGCATGCTTAGTAGCTCTAGTGAAAAAAATTAAGACTGATGTGAATTTATGCGATGATGGGGACAAAAGTCACATGAGGTGGTCAGGCATGGATAAGTTGTGATCTTTAGGTGAAGGATCCCCACATGGATGTATTTATTGGCTTGGTTGTTGTTCAGTTGTTTTTTATCCACGTCAAACTCTTCATGGTCACATTTTGGGTTTTCATGGCAAAGGTATTGGAGAGGTTTGCCACTTTCTTCTCTAGCTCATTTTACAGATAAGGAAACTGAGGCAAATGAGGTTAAGTAACTTAACCAGGGTCACACAGCTAGTAAGTGTCTGAGGTCAGATTTGAACTCAGGAAGATGACTCCAGACTGGACCCTCTATCCTGGCAAAAGCTTCTTCTAGTCAAAGAACAGGATATAACTTATTTGAGAAAGTTTTACACTCTTCTTGAATCAGTTTCCCACCTGAAAAATCTCTCCATTGCCCAGACTGGTCAGTTGACACCAATTCCCACTTGCAAGCTGGCCTTAACATATGAAAAGAAAGTTTGTTATTTTTTTTTAAAGGGGGAAGGGGAATCAACAAATATGTTCTGCAACAGGTATATTACAGTAACCTAACGTTCCACTTCACCAGTCCAAGGAAGTACTGCCCTCTAGTGTTCTCTGCGCCAAACTTCTCCACACTGATATCCTTGTCTTTGAGGATCTAGAATAGCCACCTACCTGTCTCTCTGGGTAGCCTAGGTACCACTAAGCAAAGGACAAGAATTTTTTCTACAGGTTATTGAACTCATACTTCCTAGCAATGGGATCATAAGGTCATAGATACGGAGCTACAAAGGACCTTAGAGGTCAGCTAGTCCAATCTCTTAATTTTTCAGATAAAGAAACTGGGCACAGGGAGGTCAAGGGACATGACTCATGGTCACGCAACTCAAAAGTATCCAGTGCAAGAGTTGAACCCAGGTCTTCTTGGCTCCAGATCAAAGACCCTATCCATGGTTCCATGCTGTGTGTCAGTGGGAATTTCCCATTGAGGCTATTCCTAGCTTCTCTGCTTCTGTTAATATCATCATCATTTCCCCAGTTGCTGAGGCTTGATTACTCTTCCACAAAATCTTTGACAGAAGAAAGCTGTCACTTCTCTTCCTTCTCCGTTTTTAATATCAGCACCCTAGTGTAGGCTCTTGTTGCTTCTCATTGGAGCTATTGTAACAACCACCAAATTTGTCAACTGTCACATTCTCTCCCAATTTCAATTCATCCTTCACAACACTCACTAAGCAATCTTTCTAATGCTCAGGCCTGATTACATCACTCTCCTCTTCAAAAGTACTCAGGAGCCTCCTGTTAAATATTACCTATTAAAGAATAATATTACCTATTAATAAGAAAGATCCTTGGCCTAGTATTCAAGAAGACCTCCCACAATCTGATTCTCATCTATCTTTCCAGTTCTTATCTCACAGCAGTCCCCTTCAGGCATTCTATATACTCACAGTTATTTATCCCCTGCTGCTTGCCAATATTCTATGACTTTGCTCAAATGCCATCTTCCTTGTCTGGAAGGAATTCCCTCCCAGATCAACCAATTGACATCCTCTTCCTCCTTCTCTAGCTCATTCCTGATCCTCTCAGTGATTCCCATGATTCTAGAATCTTTTGAGCCTTTTGGTTTGACCTCTTCTCTGAATTTGATCATTTTTTAATTTGTATTATCCAGAGTGAATCCAGAGTGAATTGGGTTTCACTCTGGATCTCATTGATTAGACAACAATAGGTCCCTGAGCTGCCCAAGCATCATTTAATGGTTATTTTGGGGCCTTATGGCTCAGAGTGAATGTAAATAGTAACTGTTTCTCTTTTGGCCAGCAACCCCCAGGGTCTTCCGTCTCAGTTTGATTTTTCTTTATCAAAGGGGCCATCCCTTTCTTCTTAAAGAGGCCTATTCTCTGAATGGGGGTTGCCTCACTCAAAGTGAAAACCTGAAAAGACCTTAGCTTGAAAAGGCTAAGATCTCCCATTGCATCCTGGGCCATCTCCAGTCGTCCTGATCTATATCTTGCCACTGGACCCAGGGGGAGAGATAATGAGTTCTGTTTTAGATAGGCTGATGTCCCCTGCAAGTCCAATCTGAGATGTCTGAAAGACAGGCAAAAAGGTGAGTGAGACTAGAGGTCAGAAAGAGGTTAGGGCAGGAGAGGTAGATTTGAGAGTCATCAACACAAAGATTCATGGGAGCTGATGAGAGCGCTAAGTGAAGCAGTATAGAGGGAGAAGAAGAGAGGGCCCAGGACAAAGCACTGTGCATACCTATGGTCAGATAGCAAGACCTAAATGAGGATCCAGCAAAGGATAGGGAGAATCACAGCTCAGAAAGGTTGGAGTAAAAAAATAAAGAAAGAAAAAAAGAAAGGTTAGAGGAAAACCCAGAGAAAATGATGTCCTGAACATCTAGAGAAAAGGGAGTATTGAGAAGAGGGTGATCAACAGTGTCAAAGGCTGCAAAGAGATCAAGAAAAATGAGGATTAGAAGAGGCCATTGGATACGGCAATTAAGAGATCATTGGTAACTTTGGACAAAGCTGTTTCAGTAGACTGATGAGGTTGGAAGCCAGATCATAAGGGGTTAAGAAAAGAATAATAGGAAAGAATGTGTAGACAACTATTATAGAAGGCATCCTTAAGGAGTTTAGCCACAAAGGGCAGAAGGAATATAGGATGATAATTAGTTGTGATGGAATGATCAAGTGAGAGTTTTTTGAGGATGGGGGTGACATAGGTATGTTTGTAGACAGTAGGGAAAGGAATCAGGGAACAGCAATATCTATTGCTATAAGGTAAGCTATAAGAATAGAGATGACAGAGAAGGTAATCTGTTGGAGGAGACAAGATAGAATGGCATCATTTTTACATGTGGAGGGGTTTAGCTTGGTC